ATGATCCTCAAATGCAATTGTTGGGAGATCATTTTCATCTCTGCTTCCAACCACCCACATTGTGCGAGTACTGGCATGTTTGTTGTTTTGCTTTTCCCCTCAACAATTGATAATATTTCCTGATTCTTATAAAACATGCTGATTTTATATAACGTTAAGTACATATGCCTCTGTGTTAACTATTACGTTTTATTTTATATTTACTTTTTATGATACATTATATTTCATAGATCTTTTTTATAAAAAGCCTTATACATTTGTTTCTTCTGTTTGTCCCTAACCTGAATATTATGCGGAGAACTCTGTCTGAAAAGTTATTGATATAAATTGGACTTTTTTTTGAGTAAGATATGAAATTTAATGATATTTGTTATTATTTATTGATTATTGGAAAATGAGAAGTTCTTGATTGTATCAGAAACGCTGCTGAGAAGAAAAAATAGTATTTATGGAAAGTAATATGTATTTCTTCCCAACCGATTACAAACCTGCATTTTTTTTTCAACTGAAGTCTTTATATGTTGCAGTAGATAGTTGAAAGCAGTCTAAGAGCATATTCCAATATTTGTGTCACAAAATTAAAGAGGAGGAGAATCAGTAATTCAATAAGTTCCTATAGTTAATAGACTTTTCGATCCTCACTGTTGCAAACCGGAAGAATGGCCGAGCCATCGTTGAAAATTCTTGTTTGCGGTGATGTGAACGGACAGTTCGATTCATTGCTGAAACGAGTGGATGCTGTCAACAAGAAGGTAAATTTTATATAGCTGTCATGTAAAAATTATTGTCTCATTGTTCTTATATCATTTGTTCCCATTCAAAGACCATCCAAAAGTTGTCATATAACGGTTTTTTAGTATCATTAGATGAAAATGATTATTGAACGGTTTTCTACTGCAAAATAAAAAGGTATTATTTTAGTGAAACTGATTCTGTATATAAAATATAAGTCTAAGAAAAGGAGTTTGTGATAACTGCAATTGAATTAACTTTGAAAATAAGAGTGTTAACAGAGGCTGCATCTTTCTTTTATTCATATCGACTGCCAAAATATGTGAGTAATTGCAACTTAATTGATTATTTTGCAAGTTAAATTTGTAGTGAAGAGAGTATTTTGAATTATTTAATTATAGAGTGGTCCGTTTGATATGCTTTTTTGTGTCGGCGAATTTTTTGGTCCGGATAAGGAGTCAAACGAAGGAATTATCAATGGTGTTGTCAGAATACCCGTTTCTACATACATCTTAGGTTTTTTTGAAGATTTTTCTTTGTAATTCAAAACTTTGAATTTCTGATAATAGTCGCTACTAATTATAACCTGATCTAAGAAGAGGTTAAACGATTGTCATCTTGAACCTCGTTTCGAATTTTATTTCTCAACCGCGTTCACTATACTGCACGTAATTCTCAAGTTTGTCTGCTGAATAATCGGTAGAAGAAGAAAAAGTTAACTTTTTTATATCCATAAATTTCGTTTCTCATCGAAAAGTAATATTTATGAAAGAAAAATACAGATCCAATTTGAATTTAATGGTTTTTCAACAAATATTAGCTGCTAAATAGAGATGAAACTTTCAGATTGGGGGGATTGAACTTTAAACTTAGAATGCAAATTATGATAATATTATGATGAATTTTCTCTAGAAACTATTAACAATCATAAATAGGACCATGTTGTGCGTCAACATCACGATTTTATCCTGATGATGGTGTCGAATTCTTCACAAATCTGACGTATCTTGGGAAAAGAGGTATATTGACTACCGCAGGTGGTCTTCAAGTAGCATATCTAAGTGGAATCGAGGGTACACAAGGTTTGCCTTTCCAGGTAACATTTTCTAAAGTTTGTTTCGAAATTTTTTGAAAGTAGTTTGTATTTCGGTAATATTACAAAAAAATGATTGAGAATGGTTGTTTACTTATCTACCTGTTAATTTCTCTTCCTACTAATTTTATTATTCACTTATTTAGGAGGTTATTTTTGGAGTAATTAAATAACTTGTTTTTATTGAGTTGTTGTTGCACTAATCATGTTTTTCAGTTCAACCAGAACGATGTTAGTGAATTGCTGAGGTTTGTGAAAGCAAGTACCGGATATTTGGGACTCGATATTTTGCTTACATCTATGTGGCCTGCTGGGGTACTGATTTATGCTGCTTTCTGTTATGAGTTCTTGATTTCACTTGTCGAAATAGATTTTTCATTTTATTAAGTTTCAGATTTCAAAATTTTCGACAAATTGTCCAAAAATAAATGTAGAAGGAAGTTGCATGTTATCTCAGCTTGCAGCAGGCTTAAAACCTCGTTATCATTTTGCTGGGATGGGTACACATTACGAACGAACACCGTACAGGTTTAATTTTCTCTTCAACGTATGAAATTGGATTGGCGATAATTTCTTAATTAATTTGCTGTCTATCTCTTCAATTCACACATGTGGAAGTTATATCTCTTTTATTATATCTTCAGAATTGGCATGTAAATTACTATGTAATTAAACTTGATGTAAATAGGCAAAAATAGGAGGATATCCTCGAATTATTTCGGACTTTCTTTATTAAAATTTTTGAATTTTGAGAGAAATATCTAAATAGAAAAGGCTTTTAGGAACCATCGAGTCTTACAGGAAGCCGCTCAACATGTTACACGTTTTATTGGTTTAGCTCCAGTAATTAATCCGGAAAAGGATAAGTGGCTTTATGCTTTCTCAATAACCCCTATGCGGAAGTTATCAAGAGCTGAACTTACAGCACAACCAAATAATGCTACCGAGTTTCCATATATGGAAATTCTGGCACGAATGATCTTAGAGTATGGTTCAATCATTGTTTGCTTTTTGAAATTTTGGAATATGAAATTTGGATGTGTTATTGAATGATCGCTTACAGAAGCATAACATGCTTCGCATTACTAATTTAGATTAGGAATCAAGAAGTACTTGATGTAAAATACTTCATTCCAAGATGTGTTGCATCACAATGAGATTCAAATATAGATTCACTAAATTGGTGACATAATACATACATTCCCTAATATTTCATTTACAAATTTAATAAGTATTAAAAGCTAAATGTTTGTAAAAATTTTATTTAGCGAGAGGGAAAAAAAGAAGAAACAGCAGGATTCCAAGGAACAATATTTTTTTGATATGTCAGTTGAAGTTGAAGATAATGTTGATCATGGCGTTAAACGGCGGAGAAAAGATGGTATTAAGCTTTTTTACCATTTTTTTGAGATCAAAATAAAAAATTCTTTGTCCCATTAAATTTTAAAAATGGCACTTTTGTAAAATCTTAGCTTTTCTGTCAGCACAAAAATTCAAAAAGTGAATTTTTGGACGCAATTACCATAGTTTTAAAAAAATATTCGATGTTTGTCAGTACGACATCTTCATTTTAATGCAATTGCCGATTATCAAGAAGTCTTATATCACAAAATTCTTAGAATCTTTTTCTCGAGAATCACGAGTCCAGCAGCCTTGCTGGTTCTGTCTGTCAAACGTGGATGCTGAGCAGTATTTGGTAATATCTGTGGCTGATGAGTGTTACTTGGCTATGCCAAAAGGTCCACTGGTGGATGATCATGTAATGATTTTGTCGATTGGTAAGTTTTTTTTTTTCATTTCTGGTCGAATTATAGTAAATTCTATATGTGATTATTGCAAAGTTTCCTTTCTTCGAATTTATTGAAATTGATTGCTCAACAAAACAGTAATATCCGTTACTTTATAGGTCATATACAATCAGTTGTGGCAGCTCCGCAGGCAGTTAGAGATGACATCAAAAAATACAAAGATGCTTTAACATTGATGTTCAGCAAACAAGACAAATTACCGGTATTTTTCGAACGGAATTATAAAACGCAACATCTGCAGGTACACTTTTTTATCTGGTCTAAGCTCTTCCCCACTCTTATTTTTAACAGTACACTCTGTGGTCATTCACTCCTGAAATTATGTCATCCGAGCTATCAGAGGCAAAAAAAAGATCCAGTTAAGAAATTACTGTACAAGCATTTCATTATTTGTCGAAATAGTTTTACCCTTCGCTTTCAGTTTCTGGACAAGTAATAATAAGTTTGAACATTAAATCTATGAATCTACTTAAAATGTTTTCACGTACTTTCCTTTTAACTCCGTGAATATGATTGCAATGATCGTCAAGGAAAGTATTACAGGTGCAGGTTGTACCGGTTCCGAAAACTTGTTCGAAGGCTTTGCGGAATTCTTTTCTGAATGCTGCACAAATAAAAAACATAGAAATGATATTCCTCAAAGAGGACGAAGAGGTAAATTCTTCAAAGTGGTAATAACAGTTTATTGCGCTTTTTTTGGCAAAACATTGCTGGAATATTTATGTTTTCCAGATTTGGGACGCAGTAAATGAAGGTTGTCCGTATTTTCTTGTCGAAATTCCAGATGGCAATCGACTGTACTCGTTAAAAATGGCCAATTTTCCACTACAATTTGGAAGAGAAGTAAGTTGCTTAATGTAATAGATATCCTAAGCCGTTAGCTTTCATTATGTATTGCTCCCAATACGTTTTGCTAATTTAAAAAAATGTTCGAAATAAAGTTGAAGTCTCTCGAAAAATTTTAGAAAATTCTGAGTGGAAAGAATTTCATCCCGTTTACCAAAAGAATTGCAGGTATTGGCAGAACCGGCGTTGTTGGATTGTGAAGAAAAAGTTGATTGGCGTCAGTGCGAGATGGAGAAAAGTGAACAAGCAAAACTGATAGATAATTTGAAACAAATTTTCAAACCATATGATTTCACCAATGTCGATGATGAATAATGTTTGTTTATTCCATAAAAACATAAGCAAATATTAAAATTTTTCGAAAACTCGGTTAACGTTTACTTTATTTTTATTCATAATTGGGCTAGCTACAAAAGTAATCAATGTCTACGTGCTTAACACGGATACGGAGAAATGTCTTTATTGAATTCAAATTGTCTTAATGTACAACCTTCACAAGTGAATCGTATTTTGATATTAAAACATGTACCGGTAAAATCACACTCAATAAACGATTAAAAAATCTTACATTAAGCAATTTTTTCGAATCATGCCAATTTTAAACTTTACTATTTTTAAAGCGGATGCAAAGATAGGCATATAACAATTTAAGAAAGTTTAGAACAATCTATGAAATAAGTAACTTCCAAGATTACCCTGATAAGAGCGAAATGTTGGAAAAAATTCCACCTTTGCTCAAAACTTCATGAAATTTATATCTGGATCATTCGAACACATATTTAACAGAGAAACAACAACTATGAACAACAAGAAGTTGGCCCTAACTGAAACCTGAATAAATCTAAGAAGTCCATGAAATTGGGTTTTCACTCATGTCTCCAATCGGTGCCACTTTCAGGAGCTAATTCTAACGCGGGTCTTGGTATATACGAAGCCGGTTTGTGTAACTGTACAAGCAAAACCTGAAAAGACTCATTAATACCTTTGCAGTGTTGAACGATATAAAATGTTTATGAAATCCTACAGGAAAGATGACAGTTTTGTTCATTAAAATGTCTAGAAAACTATGTTTACCTGTGCCATCATCAACCATTTCTTCTTCTTTACGTACGGTTGAAGTTTGATTTTTAGTTTATTCCAGCCATTGATCAGCGAAGTCACATAAATGAAACCCTTCGGATTATTGGTAAGCGGTTCCACCGCAGCACCATTCATTTGCACGTCGTCGAATGGACTTTCGCCCCACATCCGTACACGCCACTATAATTTCTTGCTTAAAACTTTAAAATCTTAATTTAAAATGTTTGGGATAAGCAACTGATCATGATTTGGTGCAGATTAATGTGAAAAATGTTGGACTGTCAGCCATTCCATTCAATAAAAATAATTTCAGTTATCAACTTTTGTTAACCTAATGTTACTTTTTTCCACCAAGAATGAACTTTCGGTACTTTATGAGAAATTGAAAAAAAAAATTGATTTATGAAGTTATAAAAATAATTTATATATCTTTGATCAATCAAACATATGCGAAAGGTTCTAAAATAATCTAATAAGGTAATGTAATGGCTCGAATAATCAGTAATTTTAATAATTTTGAAAAAATAGGTAAAAACGCCTAGTACATATCGTGCGCTGCGATAATCGAAAACAGCCAATAATATCATATAAGCGTAGCGATCGTTGGGAAATGGAAACGTTTCATGATTAAAGCCAATTTCAGTCGTCCAGTTTGTTGATTCGAATTCCCACATTGCCCGGACAGATACCGGAAGAAGTATTCGTTTTACTGCTATGTCCCTGGAAATTATGGAAATCAAAGCTTAATCATTTGCAGTTGGTTAATTTTTAAGAAGCTGAAACTTTCTTTTTTCATTTTTGAAATAATGGTTGTCCAAATTATGACAAAATGATTAACTGTGTGTACGCTTATAATAGCATAAGGCATGTAATTAATGATGAATTTATAACGTGAAGCACCAAAAATTCAAGACTTTCTTCTAAGATTTCATTTTTTAAATGAAACCAGAAAGATTAGTTAATGAAAATAGATCCAGCAAGTAATATAGTAATTTGTTGAGGGAAGAGGTCATAACTTTATTTTCTCACGAACCATAGCTTCCAACAGGATTTCCGAAGCATTAAGATGAGTTGAAGAAGCATCAAATTAAAGAAACCATCATCAAAGATGTTAAAATCGTTTCAGAAGAAGAATTCGGATATGTAGATGAACTCTTGAGAAACTTCACAAAAAAAATCAAAATCTTCCTCCCGATTAACAATTTCCTATCTGGAAAAATATTCCATGAAAAACTATTGCGTATTATTAATAAAGAAATTTTAAAAAAAAGTTTGGCCAGATCTACAGCTTCCTATACTCCGCAAAAAACTTGAACCAATTATGATAAAAATCTCAAACGTTTGTCGTATTCAAAAATTTGCTAAATCCAACAAGGGAAAAATAATTGAATTTCTCTTTTTCCTTATTATCTCTACATAACTTCCCTTATTTTAGCATCACCGATTGGTATATTAAATGATCCCGTCCAATACACTATCGGCAATATACTATATTGGTATATTAAATGATCCCGTCCAATACACTATCGGCAATATACTATTGGTTTCAACCATACTTGAGGTTAAATTTATCCCGGAAACCATTCGTTATTTCCCTCGACAAATGCAGTAAATTCAATTTCGACTGCAATTTAGGAATTTTCCAATAAGCTATTTTTTTATTGGAATAAAAGTTTGGAAATTAAGCTAAAATACAAATTTAAAGTAGAAAATATCACAAAAATAATTATAAACATCGGCAAATCTATATAAAAATTAAATTGTTTGCTTAAGAAAGTAAAAAGAAAAAATTAGGGAAAATTACTCAACGAATAATTTGACATGAATATAAAATCCATCTATTAATACGCATACTGCATATTTCAACAAATTTTAAAACAAACAAGTTCCTCCTAATCCAATTAAGTAATTAAAAAGAATAAAACTAATACAAATGGAATATGACTCACTTCATATTACTACCGTTAAACAGTGAACAGAAATGGAAAAAAAAATTTATTTGAAAGGGAAAGTTGATTTCTGTGCCATATAATCGAGCTTTGAAACACCACGTACATATTTATTAATTGGGTATGTATGTGCATGTATAAACATCTATGCATGCAGATGCTGTGTTTGTATATGTGTATGTGTGTGTATATGCGTCGTGTATATTATTTGT